TCCTTATTATGATCAAAACCTTCCAGAAATCGACACTTGTGTATTAATGTGGGAAAATCAGAGATTTCTAATATCCCTACTGCCTTTCTTAATTCTGGTCTAAGTCCATCCTCAAATTTAATACACTTCATTCTCTCATCAGGGTGATAAAAGAAAGTAGAGTATTTTCCCAATTCCTCAAACTTAGAAGCATATTCTCCCACTGTCATGTTCCCTTGTTTTAATTGCATAAATTCTATTTCCTTAGCCCTCCTAACATCATTAGGAAAATATTTTTCAAAAAATTTAGCTCTGAATACTTTCCATGTAATAATTATTCCTCCTCCTTCTAATAGTCTCCTAGTACTATCCCACCAATATTCTTTTTCTCCTACTATCATAAACACTACATAATTTACTTTTTGGTTATCAGGACAATTCATGGCATAGTGAATAATTTATGTTGTAACATGGTATTTTTTATTCATTGATAATTTATTTTAAAAATATTAAATTTAATTTATAAATAATTATGTTAATAAAAAACTGAATTCAATAAAAAGTTAGAGATTTTTTTAAAATTTCTTTGTTGGAGAAAAGTTTTTAAAAATAATTATTTCAATTAAAGGTGGTGTATGATTAGCTTAAGGGGTTCATTTAAATATTGACTTTAAAACATTAAAGGTGGTTTGTGTTACTAATGAGTTTTTTTTTTGTTTTTTTTTTTTAAATATTGAATTTTAAATTCTTTAATGTCGGCTTGATAAATTCATGTCACGAATTAATTCTTTATGCCTATGTATTAATTTTAACTATTTCGTTTACATATATACTTTACAAAAATTAAAACGCGTAGAAAAATTATTATACAAATAACATCATTCACTCATGTCTCTAGTCACGTTAGGTGATGTTTATCGGTGCCCTACCATACGAATCCAAATTCAGCCAATTCCCTTGGGAAGGGGAAGTGCAAGTTTCAATCATGTTTCTGGCTATCTCTTCATGAATACGTTAGAAAGCAACTTCTTGATAAAGTATGGCCTAAAAATAGCAGTATGAAAGATAAGAACAAAAATGTTTCTGCATGCCTAAATCAACAAATTGATAGTATGAAGATAATATAAGTTTCTGCATTGATAAATCAACAAATTGATACAAAATGTTATCGGTGGGACAACAATTAATTCACACATTCACTCAGCGGAACAAAATTGAGAGAGAGGATGAATATTTCTTCTATGACTCAATAACTTGATTCACCTTGTTTTCACTCAAAATGATACATTCTCTTTGCGGTACATTCCTGCCTTATTATAGGCAATTACAAAGTGTTAATCTATTAATAAATGCAAATACTTAATGCTTAAGGAAAAAAACTATGACGATGAACAGTTAGTTGTTCAATCTTAATAAAAATCAAATGTTATAATACTTGAGAATTATGCAAACATGCTGCCATGCGGTAACCTCTGAATACGGTTTGATTCAATATTATTTTTCTGACAATGCTTCCCATAAATCAAGTTTATATCATTCTAAGTATTTTTTTCAACTTGTAAAATAACTCAATCTTGAAGGATTTTGTAAAAATAATTGCTATTTGTTCTTTAGTTTGCCAATAATTAATTTCTACTTCTTTATTTGCTATCAATTCTCGTATTTTGTGAAATCAAATATCAATGTGTTTTGGACCATTCATGAAATATTGAATTTTTACTCAATGCAATTGTAAACTTGTTGTCACAAAATAATGTACTAGGAGTATCTTTCTTTTGGTGCACCATTTTTAAAATTCTTCTCAACCATAGTGCATGTGTAAAATAATTGGTTGCTTTAATGTATTCAGGTTCGGTGGTAAAAGGTGCAACAATTGGTTATTTCTTTGAAGACCACCTATACCTAAATGAAATGCATATCCTGACATGCTTTTTTGTATTTTCAGATCTCCTATTGAGTCACTATCTGTATATCCAACAAGTTCCACATCGTTATTATTAATGTAAAAGAATCCATTAGTTAGAGTACCTTTGATATAACGAAGAATTTTCTTTGCTCCTTGCAAATGATAAGCACGTGATTCTTCCATGAATTTGCTAAGCAATTCAATTCCAAAAACTATATTTGGTCTAGTTACAGTCAAATATCCCAAACTTCCAATCAAATTTTTATATCCACTTTTCTACCCTCACTTTCTCTAGTCATCTTTAACTTTTCTCCAACTAGTGTGAAAGTTGGCTGTGAATTCTCCATCTTGAACTTCTTCAAAATATCACTTTCATATTTCTTGTAGAAGATAAAAATTTTATCATCCTGTTGAGAACAACCTTAATGTGAAGGAAATAGGACATTAGGCCTACATTCATCATTTCAAAGCAACTGATCATAATCTCCTTGAATAATACAATCATCGTTGGATTGTTGCCAATAAAGATTAGATCATCAACATATATACACATAATAATAATTTCTCCAAATCAACAAATTTAACATATAAAGTGTACTCAAAAGGACATCTCTCAAAACCATATTGCACAAAGTAAGAATTAATGTTCTTGTACCATGCTCTTGATGCCTGCTTCAACCCATACAAAGCCTTCTTTAATTTGTATACTTTATCTTTTTCTCCTTTTACTGCATATCCTACAAGTTGCTCAACATATACTTCTTCCAAAATATCATTTAGAAATGTAGATTTAACATCCATTCGATATATCTTCCAATTATTTTGAGTTGAAAGAGAAATAATCATACGAATTGTATCCAATCTTACAACAAGTGCAAATACTTCAAAGTAATCAATACCTAATTTTTACTTGTACCCTTTAGCCACCATGTGACACCCTCTACCCCAACATAATTACAATAGATA